GAGAGTTTACAATTAAGTTTGAAGGCACAAATACTTTCGAAAAGGATGTCAGTGAAAGCTGATTTGATTCTATTCTTCTTTCACTTTTTGATAGGTCTTGCGAAACAATGAATTGAAAAATGTCACTTGATATTTCGTATATTCATATTTTGATCAAGAAAATATGTAATAATTAATTATTGAAAACTACAACTAAACATTCATGCTTTAATGAAATAGGCACTCGCAGAATTTAAATAAGCTCTATAAAAAACTACAAAAAGTCGAAACGAAAGGGATGTATATATAGAAATAAGAACATAAACATAATTATATGCATATGGTTGATTAAATAAAAAGCAATAAATTTTGATAAAATAAATACAAAAGTTCCTACAAAAAGTTGAAACGAAGGTTCTTTCATTTGACAAATATATATATTTTGAACGAAAAGAAATCTTGAGATACTCACTGAAATTAAGGTTTTTATTTGTAGTAACGGTATAATCCGGTCAGATAGCGACCTGATCTCCAGTAATATTATAAGGTGAAATCGTCTTCAAAATCTTTCGTCTCTAATATATATATATATATATATATATATATATATATATGACGCTTTACGAGAAAAGGGACCTTATGTTTTTTGAGTTTTGTATTCTCGATAAGTATATAGTCGTCTCCAGACACATTTGACATGTATGTCTTTAATACTTAAATAAGCATCTCACTTTTAAATGAATAAAGCAATTTTGAGGAGGGTATGCAATCTATTTATAAGTAATTTTGTGAATATTTATAGATAGTTATTGAAAAAAGTTGGTATAAATGTAATAATATTACTTTAATAATATTAAAATGTCCGCATGATGGTAATATTACCAGGAGTATTACAGTAATATTACGCGGTAATGCTGTACGCAGTAATATTAATGTAATATTACATGATTACCTATGAAAATAATTTAATAAAGTGTAAATTTAATGAAGAAAAGAGGAAAACAAACTTTATATGTACATTAAATTTTTGAAAATCTATTTAATATAATAACTATGAACACGCATAGAAAAGATATTTCACATTTGAAATAGGGACTGATTAAATGATTTATGTAATATTTAAAAAAAATTTTAACTTTTACTACTTTCTTCTGAAATGTGCAGCCTTCAAGTTTTTATAATTAAATTGCACATGAATTTTCTTTGTATTCTTTGCGCAAAATATATAGTACAAGTTCATATTATGATTAAAAGACTCTATAATATATTCTTGATGCAAGATCTTATATGAGGCATTCTATTTCAAAACGACCCCCCTTGTAAACAATTGCCAATTTAAGGGAATTTTCCGGTAAAAATTATTTTGTACATTTCAGTGGATTTTGAGAAATTAATTAAAATCCACAATCATTTCAGAGGTTTAAATATGTATAAATTGGGAATCACTTATTAAATAGAGTGGCTTTTGTTTCTAAAAAATTTTGATAATAGTGAACAATTTTCATTGTTTAGCTTAATTAATAAAATAATGATAAAAGAAAATGAATAATAAGGTACTTGGAATTTAAAAAAATTAATTTTTTTAATTGTTTTTTTTAACTCCTTAAGGCTTTAAAAAACACCTCCTTAAGTGTTCATAACCAATTGTAAGTAATAAGAATAAATTTTTCAAAAAATGTTCAATAAATATAATGAGCCATTGATAAATTAAGTAAGGCTTTAAGAGGATAGTGGGGGTCTAGCTGCACACTAAAAAAAAAGTTTTACTTTCAGCCTCTTTTTGAGGCTGAATTTATGATGTAAACGGAGTCAGTCCCGTTAAACAAGGACAGACTTATGTGAAATACATGGGCTGAATTTAAGGTGTAAACGGAGTCAGACTTTTTTTTTCCTGTGTGTTTATTATACGACCAGCAGAAACAGTGGTGCTAATGTACACTGTAAAAAAAAAGAGTTAAATTTTAACTCCCCCGGGGGGTCTATAAAAGTCGCACCCATTGGGGAGTTAAATAAAGAGAGTTAAAATTTCACACCCAAATGCCAACTCCCCAAGGAAAAAATAACTCGCGCGGGTGTTAAATGAAGGGAGTTAGAAATTAACTCTCTTTTGGAGTTGATTTTTAACTCGAAAAATTTAACTCCCGAGTCTGTTAACTCTCTAAATTTTTTACAGTGTATGTAACAGAGTCTGACATGCGAGAAGTAGAGGGATTTCAATTTGCAAAAAAATTTTAGTTAATTTATAGATGGCCTCTTACGATACATATCCCAACGGGAAGTTGCCAATGTTAACGATTGGTTCAATAATGGGCCATGCTTGGTACCCAATGGTTTTTTCTTGGCAAAACAATTGGCAACCATCATTGGACCACCAATGGTTTAAACTTGGGATGATCACGCTACTGCCAATGATCGGTAGCCAAGCATCGGGCCAATATTAGTTGCCAAGGAATTGCCAAGGAAACAAAACCAATTTTCAAAAGCTTGATTTTTTATTGGCAGCCAACAAAAAACCAAGGTTTTAAAAATTGGTTTTTTTTAATTATTAATTAAAATTTATTTTTAAAAAATATATTTTTCAAAAATTTATTTTTTAAAAATATATTTTTTTTTAAATTAATAGAACATATTAATTTAATTTGTCACCTCTGGTAAAACAAAGATGAAAGACTGATAAATTCCCTCACTTTATATCTTACAGTGGAGGGATAACTGTGAATGTCTTTGCGAGAGAGGAGCAGGTACTCATATAGAGCCAGTGAAACAGGTCACAAGCGAGAAGAAATCACTAGTATGCACTCTGGCGGCGCTTGTCGGAAGTGGCGCAACGTTGGTTGCCAAGCGCTGTGTCGATAACGTCAGGATATGCATGCGCGCCAGAAAACAGTTCCGACAAGCGCCGCCAGAGTGCATGCTAGTGATTTCTTCTCGCTTGTGACCTGTTTCACTGGCTCTATATAAGTACCTGCTCCTCTCTCGCAAAGACATTCACAGTCATCCCTCCACTGTAAGATATAAAGTGAGGGAATTTATCAGTCTTTCATCTTTGTTTTACCAGAGGTGACAAATTAAATTAATATGTTCTATTAATTTAAAAAAATATATATTTTTGAAAAATATATTTTTTTAAAATTAATTTTTGAAAAATATATTTTTTGAAAATAAATTTTAATTAATAATTAAAAAAAATCAATTTTCAAAACCTTGGTTTTTTGTTGGCTGCCAATAAAAAATCAAGCTTTTAAAAATCGATTTTGTTTCCTTGGCAATTCCTTGGCAACTAATATTGGCCCGATGCTTGGCTACCGATCATTGGCAGTAGCGTGATCATCCCAAGTTTAAACCATTGGTGGTCCAATGATGGTTGCCATTAATGTTCCAATAATGGAACGGAGTTCGCCAAGCATGGCCCATTATTGAACCAATCGTTTACTTCCCATTGGGATGATATAAGGTTTAGACGCTTTTTTCTCAAAATAACGTTTTCTCAAATGGCGGACACTTCATCTCTGAATCTACTGGACAGATTTTAATAAATCTTAAGTCGTTATGTTTGTTAGCTTGTCCTCTATGTAAATTCACCAAAAAATTAAAAAAACATTTTTGCAGACGAGAAAAATAATGAAAATCATTGTTTACTTTGAAACAAAATATTGAAACATCAGCTATTTTTTTTATTTTAATCGATTTTTCATTAACGGTGGCGGATTTCTATGCAAGACACCTTCTTTTTTAAAAAGCAGTTTGAATTTTTTCTTTCGGAGTTGTCAATTTTGAGATGAACTGTCCGCCATTTGACAATTAACTTTTTGGAGGTTCGAATTTGATCCTATCTGCAGATTATGATATTAAATAAAAATTGAAAATAAACCATTATTTTCATTCTCCAAATATGTACTAAGAGAGACAAAAAGCCTTCTACTCTGGAACTATAAGGAAAGTAATTAAAAACTATTGAAATTTACTATAGAAATTGTTTTGTGGCCGAATATCTCTTATTGACTTTCTTTGACAATTATAGACCGCTAATCATTATCTATACCTATTGTTAAAGCAATCTGTTAATACATAATAAAATATACAAGTTGATAAAAAATTGAAATTGACACCTCTACCACAACTTCCATTTACATTTCCAACTACAATTGTATATACAATATATATATATAATTATATATATATATATATAGTATGTAACGCAGCATAGCCCTTTCTCTACAGAATAGTATTGAGATGGTTGAGGTGTATGTCATGACTATGGATTGTGAATAAAGTATTGAGGTGAAATTCTCTTTGGAATGCGGATACTATTCTGGCAAGTATCTTGAAAAACAGAGTAAATTTCATAAACATCATTGCAAACATTTTACTGCTACATACTTTTGAAACGTAAAAATTAGTCTTTTTGTGATAAATAACGCAAAATCATTAAATATAATAATAAAATTTTAATTTGAAGAAGAAATATACGATTTTTATATATCAAAACTTGCAGCAAGTAACAAAATGTCCTCTTATTGGAAGTTTACAGTGTAAACTTGCTGCATCATTTAGGATATGAAATTGAGACAAAAAACGTATCAAAACTTATTTAAAAAAAACTTATTACAAGGTAAAAATGACGATTTGCTGCAAAATTGCAGTCAACTTGCCGGGCAAGTGAGATGTTTATTTAAAAAAATTTAATTTAATTTCTAATGAAATTTTTATTATATATAGATACGATATATTCTTAAATATATATTTATAAGTATACTGAGCATCCTTATATTAGAGATGATAAAAAAAAAAAAATACTGCGCATCCGTAAAATTCAAGTAGCTTGTAATATTACACAAAAATGTTCATCTAATTTTTATTTTTATGTAATATTACAGTTACAGACAACTATTTCCAATTTTATTTATAAATAAAAAATAATCAACTCGATGCTAAAGAATTGAAAGTAGTTTATATAAGCATAATTTATTATTAAAAATAATATAATAATTAAATGGTAATTGTTTTCAACTGTTTTTCAGAATTACAAAGTCAAAGATGAAGGAAAGGTTGTCGTTTACTCAACGACTATGGGAATTGTGAGGGAAACATATTATGCATGTATGAAAGTGAAACAAATTTTAAAAACACATTTGGTAAGGTACGAAGAAAGGGATATGTTTATGAGTACTGAGTGTCAGACTGAACTAAGAGACAGGATGGAGTCTACTACAATTGAGGTTCCTCAACTTTTCATTGATGGAGAGTACATCGGGGTGAGTTATAGGGTCAAAGGAAAATTTCTTTTATTTAAAGAAATAATTTTATTCCATTTTTTTGTTAACTGCGAGAGAAATCTTTGGTTTAAGAAATCTTTCTTTAAATCAAAGAAATAAATTTTTATGTTTAAAAGCAAATTTAAAAAAAACATATTGCTGTAATCTTATTATATTAAATGCGGTTTGTTCCTACGCGTGGGATCCTATAAAGAATCATAGTAGGTAATCTTCAAGGAAGAATGTTTCAATTACTATAGGAGGCACCTATTATATTTAAACGAAAAATTTAATTGGTAAAAATGATTGATTACAAATCTATCTACAAACTACAAATAATTGTTGAAAGGAAATTGCACAAAAAAAACTTTCTCTGAAAGGAGTACAAGTTATTTTAAAAATTTTTGTTATATAAAATTTAAAGGGTTTCATAACATTCAAAGAGGGAGAGAAAAATAGTTTTATTGACGATAAGAATAATAATGGTCATTGAATTGAATGATATATTTAAAATATTATTTTTGTTCACAGAATGCAGATACGGTAGAACGATTAAATGAAACTGGGGAACTTCGCCTTATGCTGAAACCATATAAGGTGAACTATTTTCATTTTTATCATTTTTCTGTCAATTTATAAAACAAAATAATTTCCTTTTATTATTTGAATATTTTTTCATTTTGAAAGGTAAAGATGGAGAACCAATAATGTCTCAAGTGTTTTGAGATATAAAAAATTAAATATAATGATGTTATAAAAATTACATTCAATATAAATTAATTAAAAAAAGGGAAAAAAATTTTTTAAATTCAGAAGAATATAGAGAGAGGTATATTTTAATAGATAAACTAGATTTTTGGTTAAATTAATTTGAATGCTGGTTAATTTAATCAGTGAATAGTGATTGTAGTGTTTTTATAAAATTGAAATTTACAAAACAATAATATTGTCTAGGAAGTGTATATATATATATATATATATATATATATTATTTATTGATTCGCATAGAAGATATCCCAGAGAAAGTGATAGCACTGCCAATAACAACAAAAAATAGTAGGGAGAACAAAAGTAAAGTAGGTAAAATAGACGCATTGAACAATGGCATTGGATACTTAACTGTGAGAGAGATCGTCCGCTATTCACTGCCTTTATAACGGTTATTGGTGTATATAGTTTCTGAAGCATTACATTGAGAGATGTTGTTAATAATATAAGAGCGCGCAGTGAAGCGTCTACAGACTATTTTCTTATTTCTGTACCATTATTTCACTCAACCTCCTTTCGGTTCTGAAAGCCAAAACTTTCAAGTGCAAGAATTGTAAGTGGAAAAAAAGTACAAGACGACGAAAAGAATATCGTCAAAAAAATTTGAGACAAAGCAAAAAACTTGAACTTGAAAGCTCCTAAATGTTTCATGAATATTTCGTGTCAAATTAATGCGACAGGTTATAGTTATACTATACTGGGCAGAAAGCGCATTTTGTAAAAGAGTATAAACACATAACGCTGTGCAAGGGAAACGCAAGGTTATACAATCCTTTCACTTTTATCTCATGGTATCTATTCCCTACTACCTCTCTCTATATCTGACGTAAAGTAGCGTGCTCATAAATTTTGGTGTCAGGCCATCAAGACTTTACCTTGCAGCGCGCAAAGGTCGTTTGTGAGTTTCTCACATTCGCATTCCTCGCTAAAGACGTTTTCTTCTTCGTATACAACACTTTAAAACAGTATACTGTATATCTTTATTAGAATTTTCTTTAAAAATATCAAGTTACATAATTTTGTACAACTCCCATTTTTTCATCATGCGTTGAAAAATTCAAGTGTCGTCTCTAACATTTGAATTAGTCTAGTTTTATTAATTAAATACGAGTATCAAGTCGAGGGTATACCTTCTCTAAAAGTTTATTTGATAAAAGATTTCATTAAAATGTTTCATTATTTCAGAGCGCAGACGCATGTTCAACATGTAAAATTTGTGGTGGCTACAGGTTACTTCCATGTCCAACTTGTAATGGCAGCAAAAAGTCCGTCCATCGTAACGACTTTACTACAGAATTTGTAGCTTTAAAATGTATGAATTGCGATGAGGCGGGTTTAGTTCGCTGTCAACATTGTTAGAGATTGCGATCTAATTGCGCGACGTCGTTTATGAAATTCAACAGACTACAAAAAATGTTGCAAATATTGTTAAATTCTTCAATTTTACAAGGAGAATAAATCTTGGTATCCTCGTGGTAAGACAAAAAAGAAACACCTCAACCAGCACGCAATATTACCTTCATGTCATTGTAATATGACCTGCGTGATATTACTTTTAAACTGAGAAATTTGTTTCTTAAAAAGCAAGCAAAGAAAAATATAAAGGAAAGCCATCGAAATATTACCTCAATATCAATGTATAATCAGACAATTTTATATCACAGTAAAATCACTCCATTACGAATATCCATAATGTAATATTACAGTGATGTTCAGATAATTTTACGTGCTACACTGAAGCCTCACTTAATTGAACATGGATGACGCAATTCGACACGAAGTGTCGCGTTTATTTGTACTTTGGTAGGCATAACTTATGTTGGTGACGTAATTCGATAAATTGACATGATTGATTGGTTTTGTTTGAATTCAACCAATGGAAATGTAGCAATCTTTCCATTGGTCGCGTACTGCGCATGAGCTAAAATAAGTGGGGTTAGGGCTGATCCTAACTGAAAGTAACTGAAGCTAAAACGGGTTCAAATAAACGAGACTTTAAATAAGTGAGGTTTCAGTGTACTTGGAACGAGACTTGGAATGTTGTGCGTTTACATGTATAAGAAAGAAATGTACAAAAATTCGAAAGTTTGCTTTCGGAAAAAATGTTGCTCATAATTGTTTACTCAATGTGAATTTAATGCTTCCTAATGTCAATATTAATATATAATACTGTAATATAAGGTGCTACAACTGCAATATACAATGTAAACAATGCAGCATATAATAATCAGTGCTGAAATCACCCTTGTGACTGAGACTTGATTTATAGTCATTGACGACCGTCAATGGATATTATTTATACATAACAAATACCTATAACGAGTTTTGTAAATTTTTGATGAAACTCAAGTTACCAATAACCCTTTTAATGTCTATAAGCAAAAATATAAAACAACTTTTTCTTTATAAATTTATCTTAAGAAAAGATAACACAAGTCAACATGAAATTTGCGCTTGACATTTAAGATATTTTTTATGATAGATTTATCGACAGATATGAGGAAAAAAATTATACTTTATCAAAAAGTTTGTTTTTGTAGATAGGAGAACGTTTTTACTATATATTTTTGAAAATTTATGATTGACCATTTCATGAATATTGCATATGAGTAGGTAATGTGCAAAATAAAAAAAATTTTTTAAATTTGATTAAAAAATGGTGTCTATGTGCAGCATTTCATTGGAAAGCGTCTCGTTTCAGGAGTCCATGGCCGCAGACAACTAACGTCCTTAATTTTTGATCTGGAAAAAAACGAAAATGTTGTCAGTTTCTATACATCAACAGCTATCGACACACGTAGGATTTTTTTATATTACTTACTTTTATTTTTATCAACAATTTTGTGAATTTTTTTTTTTTGAAAATTGTCACTTTTGTTCAATCACGCACCATTTTGCAAAAAATCAAAATATCGAAAATATCCTACGTATGTCGATAGCTATTGATGTATAAAAAATGACAACAGTTTGGTTTTTTTCCAAATCAAAAATTGAGGACGTTAGTTGTCCGGCCATGGAACCCTAAAAAAAACAGAAGGCTTCCAATAAAATGCTGCACAGAAGCCATTTGGCAATGACATTTAAAAAAAAATGTATTTTGCATATTAATACTCATGGAATAAGGGGCCGTTCATAAACTACGTCACGCTTTAGAGGGGGGGGGTGGAATTAATTTTTTGTGAGGTTCTGTAGAAAAAATGACGCCAAAGCATGTAAAATTTGTGACGTGGAGAGGGGGGGGGGGGGTGGGGGTGAAAAAATTATGCAAAATAGTGTGACGTAGTTTATAAACGGCCCCTAAAACATACTTTACAGATTTCTAATTGACCATTTCATTGAGCAAAAAAAAATTCCTAAAAATATGCCCAATTTTCGTGAGTTACTTAGATGTCCCCGCCCTTAACATATCTGCAACTACTACAAAAGCAAACTTTATAAAGAATATGTATATTGTTCCTTTATTTTAGTGAATAATAAATAAAAAAATCATTATATAAACCCAGGCGCAAAATTTTTTTGTTTTTTTGTTGAGCTGCGTGTAATCAATATTTCTATTTCATCCTATTAAAAATGATTTTTCAATTCAATCAATTACTAGAAAATTAAAGCATTTTTTATTTAATTTCGTCCATAAGTAAATTATGGCATTGGTAACTTGAGTTTCATAATTTTTGGCAGCTTGAAAAACGTCTTGTCAATATATTATGTTTCCCTTGCAAAATTATTCTTTCTAGTTATAACGATTCGCTATATCGATAGAAATCATTATAAATCAAATCAATTTGTTCTTCTGCGAATTAGTGAATTTTCACTTCATTGATATATAGAGGTAGCCAAAAGTGAGCTGGCGCACTTTTCATTGAAAAGAAAAGCGAAAATTATTTCACTGAATCAATATTTCATTGAAAATTCAAATCTATATAATTTATTGCAATGTATATATATTTATACAAAGTTGATAAATTTTTTGTACATTATACTGATCTAATAAATAATATAATATTTTATAGTATTGTCTATGCAGCTTACATACATATCTCTACCACTTATTGTATTGGTAAATATGGTACAGACATACAGTATTACTGTTTCAGCCAGGGAGACTATATAGAAGAATCAAGAGGAGTATTAGGATAGGTGCAAGAAATGGGAACAAAGTTGGCGTGCAATGAGTTGTGCCAGAGATGATTGCGTACATTAGCTGTCTGCACAGAACACAAATTTACCTCTGGCGCAACTCACTCCACGCCATACTTTTGTTCCCACTTACAGTCCCGCACTGCACATTTGGAGCCAAGTTTGCTTTCCTATATGTATAGTCTTCTTGGTTCGGACTAAAATCACAACAATAATACTCGTATATCCGAATTAACAATATAATTTTTTTTCAGTGCTTCCCACGATAATAATTATATATTCCACTGTGATATTGAGGAAAGATTTCACTATAATATTAAAATAATTTAATTATTATTGATATTTTAATTTTATTGAAGCATCATCACTGTAATAGGGTAAACGTATCAATTGTCGAGGATGCGGTTCCTGTTGTCGAGTAAACAAACTTTGAATTTTATTTAAACATTGTAGCACATTGTAAATGGAAAAAAGTGATAAATATTAATTTTCTTACGCGTTATAAATGTGAAAAAAATATATTAATATTATATCCACAAAAAAATGAGACATTTTAGACAATATTTTTTGGTTATTACCATGATAACATCGAAAAATGGTACTCTTACCCTATTCTGATGTAATGAATGTATCATTTTATCATAAACTATGAAATTGCGTCTTGTATTAAAAACTTAATTATTTCAAATTTTGAAATGTTTAAATTACGATTCTGCTTTCAATTGCAAATTAGTAATTATTCCGGGTTAAAAGAATAACATGTTTGCATCTATATATGCATTCGGAAATGGAGTTACTCCAACTTGCTCTCTAAAAGGGACTCTCTAAAAAGGACCGCATAACAATGAAATTCACTATTTAAAGTAGTACAAAAGTTACTTTCGCTTTCAGGAACTGATGACTTTTCAATGGAAGTGCGAGTCACTGAAAATCTATAGAGTGTGTTTTGTCAACACAGCGCGGCAACTTTAATCTCAAATTGTCATATACATATATATAATGTTTGAAAATGTCACTAACCTTTGCTGTGATGTTATCTGTACAGTAAGTTTTGTTTTTTGACCTCAAAAAGAATGTCTATTTATCGTCTGACTATTTATCCATAATTTAGTTGGAAATATTATAAATTAAAAATTTTATACAATCTGTTATTATTTTGCTGTTGTTTACCCTACTTTCTGTTTTTGCAGTGGGAGGATGAGAAATCGCATACAATGAACTCTTCGATCGTTAACTTGCGTCCTTGAAATGTTTTACACGCGTACACAGCCAGACAGAACGCGCACCTGTATATGAGGTCTACATGTAAAAACCTCACTCAGGGCTAAAACAATGTACTTGTCGATATTAAAAATATTTCGAAATAATTCTATTAATTATTAGGTTGTCACTCTCAATATTCGCAGCCATCAGAGCATGTAACTAAAAGTGGTCCCTTATCAGCTGAGCTTATAAATTTTACTGAATGAATGCACATATGCAACATGTTTTACAGTATTTGTTTTTATAAACTTTTAGGCAGATCCAAATGTGCAGCTGAATTATCTGACCCAAGTGTCGAGAGGGCATTGATCAAGTTGGTTATTTTGCATAAATTATTAGAATTTGTGCGGAATGGATGAGACGCAGGGCAGGAAAGTAATGTTTTTAGATAGAGGTCATCGGGACCGGCAACTGTAAGACCTTCACCGAGACCCAGTTGGTCGACATTGGAGTTACACACTCGTCATGGCAGAACCCCACCTACCCTATTATTCTGCCCGCCAGCGCTGATACACACACCTTGTCCTGGATGGTGATGGCTGCACCTGGAGCTGGCTCGTGACGCTGAAGCTTTTGTGACGCAGGCGCATCTCAATTCAAAGTCTATTCAGCAATGATGCCGACGCGACTTGCTTCTGATTTTGCATTCAGCACTGTTTTTCTATCGGAACAGGACGACCAGGACACTGTGCGCGCTAAACAAGCTAATATTCTCAGTGATCTTCCCGAGCTCGTCGAACGCACTTCCTTCGCTCCTCGAGAGCCTAACATGGGAGTTGTTAAATCTGCCTCGGAAAGCATCCTGGAAGAAAACATTGTACCCAGTGAAAAAGTTCAAGTTCACGCCGGTAAGTCTGCGAAACTCTCTTTAACTCTTTTCTTTCTATACTTTCAAGGATGCGATAACATTTATGGGGAACTCGGAATTATTTTTATTCTATTTATTTTAATCACATATCTACAGTTCTTGGAATTAATTAATACGTGTACGAGTGCTTTTTTGGAACCTATGTAAAGAATGTGAATCTATAATTAATAAATAGATGAAAGTTTTCTTGTGGAAAGATAAATCATTTTAAAAAAATTGAAATGTGATACTAAGAAAGAAGATGCCAAAATATATACAAATGATCTTGGTCGCGCAAATCCGTTTCACTTTCGTCCAAGTCTGGACTTTATTAAAGCTGACGTTGCCGCCCACACCAGACCGGAACAACTGCGCTAACAGGTGTTTGAATATACAGATATATTAGTTACGAACTAAATCGCACACTGTTGATTCAACAAAGAAAATTCCTTTACAATCATTTCTTTTTAATGACAAGAAATAGTTTTTACAATTCATTCCATTGCATTATCTATATAGAAGAATAATATCTTAAGAGTTTTTGATTTTAGTGAAAAGTCGTGCACTATAATTAACCTTGCGATTAAAGTTTACAACAATTTTTTACAATTTTATTTAGTAGTTGGTTTCAATTTTAAAAACTAATTTTGCGCAAATTCTAATTTAAAGTGAAAATATTACGCCGTTTATAAATTTAAAATTTACATTAAATTGAATATTTTAATAATAAAATTCTGTCATTTTTACAATTCATTACTATTATTTACAAACATTTTGTTTCTTAAAAATAAACATATTTAAAAATGTTATTATATTTAAAGCACCAAAAAAACTATATATATATATTTATTATAACCTTGGACGACACGTGTTTAATTCACCATTGAAATGTTTTATATTTCTACTTGGTTGCCCGTGAACCACAATGAAATCAAAGTCCTATTTCATCCTGCGCATATGCATGCATCGTCAAAATTAAAGCTCGTACATATTAAAATAGTTATCTAATAACCTTGGTGTAAATTTTTATTTATGCTGGAAGAAACATAAATATATTTTATATTTATATCACAAAATAATAAAAGGAATATTTATAATAATGAAATGAATTGGTCCTTTATGTTTGGCTCTCGAGCGAATATTACTACCCTCTTAATCTGAATGAGTGAAACTTTCACTGAATAATCCAGTCAGCAACCAAAATCAATGGGTTATACTAATTTGTATTCAAATTAATAGTATCGAGATTAAAAAGCATTTTCCTAATTCTCTAGACAAGTTAATGTCGTAGATAATATGCGCTGAGAGGTCTATTAAAGGACTGTCGTATTAGTTGTAAATAAATAATGGAAGGCATTAATTAGAGGTGTAGAATGATAAGTACGTATATTGTATGGAGAGCGGAAAAGTTAATTTTCAAAGAAATCGTCAAGTCTACTTTGTATTAAAGACGACGCGAAACACAATGTAGAATTATCGACCTTGGCCTCTTAAAAGACAGCTGTAGCTCGATATAGGAAACTCATGGTTTGTGCTCCAAAGACGGTAAATTTTAAGCATGCGCTTTCAACGGACATCTTCCAACATATACAGAAGATGCGAATGCGAGAGGCGTATAGTGACGCGCAAGGGAATTTCAACCATTCTCAAACGAAAATTTCTTTAATAATTCATTCTCAATAGTATAAAACTTTGCCCACTCCAAATATATATTCTATCAAATTACTAAAACACCTAATGTGGAAAAAGTTGTAATACTTTTAATAATATATTGTATTTCCACGACACTATGATGATTGAAAGTTATATATACTGCGGTTGACTAATGTTTTATACGACAATACTCTTGGAAACAACTACTGTTGTAATTGAATAATTTATACGAGTCTTGTAGAATTTTATCACAAATTCAATATCAATTACTTTTAAATAAATAACTTTTCTATCCAATAGCGGATATATTAATAGAATTTTTTTCGTCGTAGTATAATTCTATATGGTTATTAAAACAACCAACAAAATACTAACGCTGCATCAACAATACAACTTTCAGTAGGTATTGCGACTGTTTTCTTCGTTTTCTTAGTATTACTCGCATGAGTGTTTGTGATACAGAAGAATTGAAATATTTGATACCAAGTATTTTGAAATTTTTCAGAAAACACGTCTAATTTGTTCAATAAATTGTTTTTATGCAATTATTCTAATTATAGCTGTTTTTATACATGTATTGAACAAAAAATTAAAATTTTGAAACTTTTAGAAACTTGACTCAGCATTTTAAAATAATTATTCTACTATGAAAAATGAAAGGATTGGCATATATATAAGAAGTTTAGATGTCACCAAATATTCGTAAAACAATTTCCAAATTATATTCGTATCATGAGCATTTTTTGCTTTTTAAAGAAGCAACAATGCCAGGGGAGTTAAATAAAGAGAGTTAAAATTTCACACTCAAATGCTAACTCCCCAAGGAAAAAATAACTCGCGCGGGTGTTGAATGAAGGGAGTTAGAAATTAACTCTCTTTTGGAGTTGATTTTTAACTCGAAAAATTTAACTCCCAACTCCCGAGTCCGTTAACTCCCTAAATTTTTTACAGTGTATAAAAGATGATAATTTCTAATTTCAGTTAAAAGTGATCAAATTTAAGTATATTTCGACGGTTTAGAGTGCAAACCTGCTAACTCACATTTATGAAATTTTTCAAGAGAGTCAAAAAACTATTCAAAAGAATTTTTAGGATATATTCTTATAGAACAAAACTTTCAGTATATTTGTTTTATTAACAGAACAACACAATGCTACTTAATAATAAAAAGTACTTCCTTTTTAAATATATTTTAATTGATATCTCTTACACTCAAAATATATTAGACACATTTCAATACAATACAATATATTATGTGGAGTTATAGCAGTGCAATTTGACAGGTATGGAGTTAGCTGTTTTACTCACACAACACTTTTTTAGCAATTTAGAGACATAATAATTTCGTCAAACAGTTTTACTTGGCTGATGTATCACCTCTTTATCTATCAAATACAAAAAGAATCTCAAATTTGATAAAAAGTGGAGTTAGCAGGTTTGCACTCTAAACCGTCGATTTCTTTTCCACTGCGCAAAATCTATTTAGCAATTGGGATTGGCCTGATTCAAATATTTAATAGGGACATATAGATGTAGATAAATTTCTTAGAGAAAAAGGCTATCTATACTATAGTGTGGTTAGACTAATTCCTCATTAAATAAGAAAAAGTCGGTGAATTTCCACAAGGAAAGAAGGAGGGTCAATAAGGCCAATTTTTGGGCCCAGACGTCGCACTTTTTTTATTGCATTTCTAAATAATAGATGTCAAGAGCTTTCCAAAAAACCCAATAAATCCGTTTTTCGTTGAGACAAGTGGCAATTATGCTTGATATCAAAGTTTGAGTAACGTTGCAAAATGCTTACTATGTAAACTCTTTAGGAACAAAAGCAGTTGAATGAAGCTTGTTACTTTAGGGTTTTTAAGGTCGCTGATCACGAATCTGGTGTCATTTTTAAAAATCCAAGATGGCGGATCTAAAATAGCAGGACGCAAAAAATTAAATCTTGAATGAATATTTTGGAAACTTGTTACTCTAACATTTTGAAGGTCGTTTATGACAAATCTGATGTTCTTGTGTCGAAGGCGAAAGAAATTACCAATCTCACCTAAATCAATTTTTCCTTGAAGCTCTTAAGTTTGTGTATCGATAGTACTACTGTCTTTTTACACCACTTTTATAACTTGTGGATTCACAATAATGTTGGAATAAATCAGAAAGAGGAGTGTAGAAAATAAAATATTTTAATTGAAAAATAATATTCCATACACATTCATCGACTATCCAAATATCAAGATTTATGAAAATCCAAAATCAACATAATTTTTTGCTTTCTGAGAACTGGCATCAGATTTGTAATCATTAACCTTGAAAACTTCCTCGTAACAAGTTTCTAGAAGGTTCGATTAAGTTTGAATGTTTCTTGTCAGTCATATATTGGATGTGCCATTATAGATTTTTAAAAACTGACATCAGATTCATCATCAACGACCTTCAGAATGTTAGAGTAACAAGTTTCCAAAATATTCATTTAAGATTTAATTTTTTGCGTCCGCTATTTTAGATCCGCCATCTTGGATTTTTAAAAATTACATCAGATTCGTGATCAGCGACCTTAAAAACCCTAAAGTAACAAGCTTCATTCAACTGCTTTTGTTTCTAAAGAGTTTACATATAGTATAAGCATTTTGCAACGTTGACCTTAGATCAAGCATAACTGCCACTTGTCTCAACGAAAAACGGTTTTATTGGGTGTTTTGGAAAGCTCTTGACATCTACTATTCAGAAATGCAAACAAAAACGTCTGCGACGTCTGGGCCCAAAAATCGGCCTTATTGACCCTCCTCCTTTTTTTTTTGGAAAAAACACACTTAAACTGCGGGCGGGCGCAAAGTGACACATTTCTGCTTCATACCTCCGGGAAACCTAGGGATTTGATTTTGTTGAAACCCGAGAGGGTTCGCTAATTACGAATCTGACATTAGATTTTCCAACTGGCTGACGTTTTTTCCCAAATTGCTCAAATGTTCTTGAGATTTTCAAATCTTCAGATTCATATATATAGTGTTAATTAAAAGCATTTCCTCTAAAGTGTCTGACTGCTGTATGGTTTACCCTATACATTTTAATACAAAGTAGGTCGGTATTACATGGTCATCATTTAATAAAGCATAAAGCAGGTTAAAACAACTATTTTTGTTGAAACAATACTCGATCCATTTGAAAACTTTAAAGCTTTAAATATAATTTTCCTGTAAACTTTGTTCCCTCGTTATCACAGTCTGCTTAGTTATTTCATATATATTATAATTGAAAAATGTTGACAATATAATAGAGTACCTATAGTATTTGAAAAAGTTTCCATGTATAATTTTCATTTTTAATGTAGAAATTAAAATCCTTAGGTAT